CGCACGGCAGCGGGAGCCGTCTCCATGTGCAGAGCTGGCGCTGCGAACGCAGCAGCAGCAGCAGCAGCAGCAACAGTTGCTGCAGCAGCAGCAGCAGCAGCAACGGAAGATCTCCCGTGTACCACGGAGTTCGTCAGCTTCCGCAGCAGCAGCAGCAGCAGCAACAGCAGCAGCAGCAGCAACAGCAGCTAGAGGGGCCCCTGCTGCTGCTCGCCATTCGCCGAGGCCCCCATTAGGGATACGAAGGGGCAGCGCTGCCTCTGCAGCAGCAGCAGCAGCAGCAGCAGCAGCAGCACCTGCAGCAGCAGCAGCAGCCAACGCTGCAGCAGGTGCAAGAAAGCTCCGCAGCACTTCTTCAGGGGCCCCCAGCAGCAAGCGGTTCGCTTCGAGGCCCTGCAGCCCGAGGGCCCCCCCGGTGCAGCACAGCAGCAGCAGCAGCAGCAACAGCAGCAGCAGCAGCAGCAGCACGCGACCTTCTCGTCGTACAACAGCAGCAGCAGCAACAGCAGCAGCAGCAGCAGCAGCAGCAGCAAAGGAGGTTGGTGACCCCGCAAGACATGCTGCGGCAAGGGGGCCCCCAGCAGCACGGGGGGCCCCCTGCAGCCCCCAGGGGCCCCCAAGCCAGCCTGCTGCAGCACGACGTGCTGCAGACAGAAGGGGGCCCCATATACAACCACCTGAGCCCGCTGCTGCTGCTGCTGCTGCTGCTGCTGCAGCAGCAGCTGCTGCTGCTGCTGCTGCTACGGGAGATACTGCTGCTTCTCGCGATGTGGCTTTTAACGGCCCAGAGCAGCAGCAGCAACTGCAGCAGCTGCAGCAACTGCAGCAGCAACGGCTGCAGCAGCAACAACTGCAGCAACAACCGCTGCAGCAGGAACAGCAGCAACTGCAGCAGGAACAGCAGCAACTGCAGCAGCAACAGCTGCAGCAGCAACAGCTGCAACAGCTGCAACAGCAGCACCTGCAGCAGCAACAGATGCAGCAACAACAGGAACAGCAACTGCAGCAGCAACAGCAGCAGCAGCAGCAGCAGCAGCAACAGGAACAGCAGCAGCAGCAGAGACAACATGGGGCTAACGTTTGGAATG